GCTTAGGGAAAAAATGAGAAAGCAGCTGAGAGCATCTGGATTTCACGCAGGTGAAGCTGTGCTGGAGTCACATATTCGATGAGTTGTGTCACTTCTCCAGGGGTGGAAGGGAAGGCAGGGCTGGGGACAGCACAGAGGGCTGGGGACAGCGCCCATGCCTGCAGGGAGGGCATCTCCAGGAGCTCAGGCCAGAGGCACAGAGTGGCAGTGACCTTGGTGAGGCAGGGCAGTGGCGTGGGGTGGGACAGTGCTCAGGGTGAGGGTGTGCACACACCCTGTCCCTTCCGGCTCTGACAGGGACCGGGATGTTCTGTCCCACAACAGCACCAGGAACACCCCTCCTCATGCCTGGGGGAACGGCCACCCCCCTGTCCTGGCTCTTGGCACCTGTGCAGCTCCTTTGTGCAGCTGCTGTGACACGCAGAGCATGGGAGGTGCCACAGCAGAGTCACCCTGGGCACGTCCCCAAGCCAGGGGCAGGCAAATCACTGCTGGTGTTCCAGGGTTTGCCACGGACTTCAAGCACTTGGGGTACACCGGGGGCTGCCCCTTGACTTCCAGTGCAGGGCTGGAATGCCATCCTTGCTCTGCTCTGCTGCTGCCTGCCCAGGGCTCAGAATGGCACCAGGCTGTCCTGCTGCCCAGGCTCTCCTCCAAACCTCAGCCCAGCAGCTCCACATGCTGAGTGCCCGTTCCACACATTGCCCTTTGGCTGCTGCTGGATTCCTGACAGGCTGCTCCTGGCAGCTCCCACCTCTCCCACCCAGCTCTGTAGATTAGAACTGCTTGGGCAATAAATTTCCGAGCGTGAGCTGCAGCCCTGCAGCTGTGAGGCTCTGTACAGTGATGGGCTATTTCCAGCCTGTCCTGGGAACAGAGAGGTGAATCACTGCAGCAGGGACGCATGCTATGTGCTGCTCAGATGAAAACCAATCCCACTCCAGATCTGTGCCCCTCTCCCAGGCACATGCTTGTCCTCTGCCACTGGGATCAGGAACTTGGCTGGCTCAGGCTCATGGAGAAGCTGAATGAATCCAAGTAGAGCTGTGTCTCCTTGCAGACCAGGCTGTGTGAGTTGGGACCACTGTCTCCACTATCTCCAGATATGGACTTGGGCAAATTCTCTAACTTATTCCCCAGTGGAGAAATAGGAAAAACAGGGCAGCCTGCTGCATCCCAAGAGATTCCCAGCCCTACATCTGGATCCTGAGGCCTTGGGAAAGTCTGAGGGCAGCCTGGGGACGGCCAGGACAGAGTGTGCATGCTGGTGCTGTGGCCAGACTGTCAGCTCTGGCTGTGCCTCTGCAGCCCTGTGCTGTGGCTGGGGTCACAGCTGGACCTGGCCAGGCTGGAATCCTGAAGACCACAGTCCTGGTGGCCCACATGTCCCTGGAGTGAGGAGCTGCGGGCCAGGTCCAGGATAAAGATGAAACTGGAGGGCACAAGACTGTGACACAGACAGAGGAAGAAGGGAAAAGGCTCCAGTTTCAGTGCTGGGCTGCCTTTCCCATACTTCTGGCATCACAGATGAGTTTGGAGCCAGCCTAGGGTGAGCAGAGCTGGTGCCTGAGTCCTGGTACGGGAGAGTCCTAAGCGGATCCTCCTCACCATGACTTTATCAGCTGCAGTGAGGGAGGATGAGGCCAGGCCTGAGGTACCTGGGTGTGTTTAGCTGGGTGGAGGCCAGAGTGTGGGAGGGAGGACGGGCTGGCTCCGGGGTTGCCGGTGTCTGTGTGTCTCACTGGCTCCGCTCTGTGTCTTGCAGGATGAAGTGAAGCTCCCATCTAAACTGAGCATCAGCAAGTCCCTAAAGGAAGGTGAAAAGCTGGAGAAGGAAGGTGAGGGTGAGGAGGTCCCTGTGGGTGAGGACCATGCGGAGGAGGACCACGTCCAGCTCTCCTCGGATGAGGAGGTGGAGATTGAGGAGATTATCGAAGAGTCACGGGCAGAACGCATCAAAAGGAGCGGCATGAAAAGGGTGGATGACTTTAAGAAGGCATTCTCAAAGGAGAAGATGGAAAAGACTAAGCTAAAGACCAAGGAAAACCTGGAGAAGACCCGCCACAACTTGGAGAAGACCCGCCACAACCTGGAGAAGAGGATGAACAAACTGGGCACTAAAATTGTGACTAACGAGAGGAGAGAGAAGATGAAGAGCTCTCGGGACAAACTGAGGAAGTCTTTCACCCCTGACCACACCATCTATGCCAGGTCCAAGACAGCCGTCTACAAAGTGCCACCCTTCACTTTCCATGTCAAGAAAATCAGAGAGGGTGAGGTGGAGGTGAAAGCCACAGAGCTGGTGGAGGTTGGTGGAGAGGAAGGAGAAAATTCAGACCTGATGCGTGGGGAGAGCCCTGACATGCACACCCTGCTGGAGATCACGGAGGAGACTGACGCGGTACTGGTGGACAAGAGTGACAGCGAGTAGGACAGGCTGCAGAGCACAAGGGTTGTGGATGACAGCTGAACACAAAATCACTCACATTTCGAGCTCTCCCTGCCCTGGAGCCCCAGGGAAGTGTACACAATGCGTCCTTCTTACCCTGCAGAGCCGATGCCGATCCCCTGCCTGCTTTGTACAAGGTATATTTTATATTTTAGTTTTAGCACATAAACATTAGGAACACGGAACTGTTTTTCTTACACTACTAAATCACCCTCGGAGACCATTCCTGCTGCAGCCTTTTTGCCCTACACCTGAAGATGTGCTTTGAGTGACAGGGCCCTGACCCAGCTGGAGAGTGCTGATCCCAAGAAGCTGTACAGCTGAAAGTTCAAGAGTCCTCCATAAGAAAAACCTGGTGTCAAGAAAGCTTCCTGCAATAGCCCACCAGCCCACACCACTTGGCCCCCTATGCCAGGCTCTGCAGCCACTCCACAGGCAAGAAGACTCCCAACACCCAACCCGGCTGCTCCTTCGGGGGACCAGAGGAACTGGGATGCAGCCGGTGCACGGGAGGGAAGAGCTGAGCAAATCCTCTTGTTGGGCAGCACATGGCAAAGCTGAGCTGGCCTGGGGCCGGCGGGGCTGCTCCTCTCTGCCCTCCCAAGGACTCGGTGACCTTTGCACGAAGCCACCCTGCAGCTGGGGTGTCACAGAGCTGGGGCTCACTGCTCCTCCCCGCTGTGCCCCGGGGCTGTGGCAGGAACAGAGCAAGCTGCAGGCTTCTCACATGGGTCAGGGATCTGCCAGAGATCCAGGAGGAGTCCCAGGGCAGGGAGCAGCATGGAGGTGGGGTGCTGGGTCTGCTCCCTCCACACCCACAGAGGTGGTGGCAGCAGGCAGTGGGGCCCACGCTTGCTGCCCTGGGAGAGGGGGACACGCAGGCAGCAATGCTGGAGCAGTCACCATGGCTAGGGACTTGTTTCCAGAGGGATATGGGACGCACTGCTGCCATGTGAGCCTCTAGACCATCAGAAAGAGGCCTTGACACCTGCCCAGCACAGGACCTTGAGCATTTCTGAGCGTCTGCTTTCTGCAGGGGTCCTGGCACAGCTCAGGCTCATGCCCATGCCCACGTCCTGTGCTTTCCTCCCCGTGTCCTGCTTTCTGCAGCTTCACTCCATGCCCTGAGTGAGGCAGCAGGAAGGCAGCACACGGTGCCTTGGGGGCTCTGCCTGGCTCAGCCCAGCTTGCCTCTTACATACTCAGCCCCGCTGCAAGCCCCAGCCTTGCATTCCCCATCCTGCTCCCCCAGCACGAGGCTGCTGCTGCTCACATAACCCAATATATAAACTCGCTTTACCTTTAAAGAATTATTTTCCTTCAAACAGTGCTGTCCCAGCCTCGGGGTCCTGCCACAGCTTCCCTCCCCACAGGAGGTGGGAGCGGTCGGTTCCGTGTGCCGGCTGCAGGCAGCCCTGAGACACCGGTGGCCCCGAGGCTCCCGGTGTGGGGAGGCACCGGGCACCGGCTCTTGGCTGCTGGTGCTTCCCAGCCCCGTGTGAGCCTACAGCTCACCTGCCCTCACAGAATCTCCTGCGGGCCCACAGGCCGGTTTTTTCACGCGGGTTTTCTCTGAGCTGCAGGGCCGGGACAGCAGGGCCAGGGTGGCAGAGGCCCCCGGGTGATCCTCGCCTGTCCCTGGCTGTGCCCAGGCAGCAGCGCAGCAATAAAGTCTCTTTTGTAAACCACCAGTGTGAGGCCTGTCCGTGGCACCGGGCGCTGGGGAGGGGCTGATATGCAGGGATCCATCCCCTCAGTCCTACAGGGATCCATCCCCACAGCCCTGCAGTGGGGGCTGACACACAGAACCCCACAGGGATCCATCCCCACAGCCCTATGGGGATGATCCCCATAGTCCTATAGGATCCATGTCCACAGTCCTATAGGATCAATCCCCACAGCCCCACAAGGATCGATCTCCACAGTTCTATAGGATCGATCCCCTCAGCCCCACTGGGATCGATCTCCACAGCCCCACAGGGATCAATCCCCCCAGTCCTATAGGATCGATCGCAACGGCCCCACAGTGATGATCCCCACAGCCCTATGGGATCGATCCCCTCAGCCGCACAGGGACCGATCCCCACAGTTCTATAGGATCGATCCCCACAGTCCTGCGGGATTGATGCCCTCAGCCCCACAGGGCCGATCCCCTCAGCCCCACGCGGGGGCGCTGCTAACAGCACGGGGCACGGGCCCGCCCGGCGCGACGCGGCCCCTTTAAGAGGCTGCGGCGGCGGCGGCGACCGCGTGACGTCACGGCGCTGCCCGGAACTCAGCTGGGTTTCCCGCACGGCTGTTCCCGGCAGCCACCCCCCCCCGGCCCCCTGTACCGCCTCTGCCTAGCGAAGCCCTGCGGCGGGAGGCGGTGCCATCCGGGAATAGCCGGGGGGGCAGCCCCCTCTCCGCGCGCCGTGACGCACCACGCAACGACCGCGCTGATTGGCTGTCATAGACCTACGGGGGCGGGGCCGCGGGAGCACCGAGTAGCCATTGGCAGCGGGGATGATGACGTCACGACGGGGCGGTGCCGGGCCGCAGGAGGTCCGGTCCCTCGGCGAAGCCGGACGCGATCGCCGCCGTCACCGGGAGCCGCCGCCCCGCCCGCCGGGACCGCCGGTGAGCGCGGGGGGGTGTGCGGGCGCTGCTCGCCGCCAGCAGCCGGTGTCCCCCGGGCCGGTGTGGGGCCGGGGCGGGGCGGGAGCGGGGCCGGTAGCGCGGGGGGGCCTGTCCCGGCTCCCCGACACTGGAGGGCCGAGCCGCGGTGCGGAGCGGGGTGGATCTGTGCGGCCCGGGCGGATCTTCCGGGCTGGCACCGCACACGGGGACAGAGCCCGAACCGGCTTCTCGGAGAGCGAGAAGCGGCGGGAGCGGCAGGGCCGGGGGAGGTGCGGCCCGCCCGGTGCGGCCGGGGCTGGCACGGCCTCGGGGGTCCCGTGCGGAACGGGGCTGGTAGGACTGGGATCGGAAAGGGGGCCCGGGCACAGCGGGGCTGGAGGAGCCGGCGGGATCCGCGGGGCTGCGGGCTCAGGGCTGTCACACGCCGCCTGCAGCTCGGGGCCTCCCGCCCGGAGCGGGGCTCGCCTCGGTGACAGCCGCCGTGGGTGTGTGTGACAGCAGCCGGGTCCTGCAGCTCGGGAGATGGAGCCCCCCGAGAGCTCTGCGGGGCTGGCAGTGCTGCCCACCGCTCCTGCTGCCCGTGTCTGGCTGGCTCCTGTCCCTCGGGCCATGGGACAGACACCCCCGCGATCCTGTCCGGTGACACGGGATGGGAGCCTGGGCTGGCCTTTACACCTGCTGGGACCAGCCCTGCCTGGGTGCACATTGGGGAGCAGACCCCGCTCCCACCCTGACAGTGATCCCTGTCACTGTCACTCCCTCATTCTGCTCCATCTGTTGGAGCTGTTGGAGCACAGGAGGGGTGCCCTGCGTGTCCCCTGCCCTGGGGTGGATGGTGACAGTGTCACTCACAGCTGCTGCAGTGGGATTTCAGCTGGGATGGACCTTGGAGAGCTGCAATGAGGAACAGCAGGCCTGTGGGGTGATCACAACTCATGCTGTGGCTGTGAGGTTGCCCAGAGCCATCTCCCTCCTCCTGTTGCAAATCTCTGCATCGCTGTTTTCCACCTCCATGGCTGGCTTTGAAATCGCTCCAGAGAAGCAGAGCCAAGTTCTTCTAGCAGCCTTTCCAAAGTGCTGCCAGAGCCCCTGGCTGCCGTGTCGAGCAGTTTTCCATCGGGCTGTTGATGGTTCTGTGGAAGAGGGGGCAGCAAGGTGCTTGCTGCAGCTGCAGGGACTCTGTGATGTTGATGGCATGTGTCGTGACCCGGCGATGGCACCCTGATGATGTGGCCTGTGTAATGATGTCAGTGACTGAGCTTCATCCTGCTCGTGTCACTGCAGGGGATGTGGAGTCCTGGGGTCCTTCTAAGGCTTTTTCCAGTGACTCCCCCATACACTTTGCCCTAGGGCTCATTTCTTGCTGTAGGAGCACACGTGCAGGGGGTTCCCAGGTGTGTCCCAGAGATAAGGCAGGCAGAAAGCAGTTGCAGGGTTGCTTCCATGGCAGCCCCATTTTAAGTGGGGTGGTTGGAGTATGCAGAGCTGTCTCAGAGGGTGACACTGTGCAGCTGGGCCTGACTCTTGTGCTCTGCCCTTGCAGGAAGATAAAGGAAGATGAACTTTAGCTCTTGATCTGCTTTTAGCAGCTCTGCTCTGAGCTCTGCACAGCATGTTTACCTGTGAGCTTGCATCATGCTGTGTTGGTCCTGGCCATGCTGGCTGCTCTCTGGCTCCATTCCAGAGATGGAGGAGAGGCAAACCACAGAGATGGGCAAGCCCAGCAGAATCAGAAAGGTTCAACCCTCAGATTTTAAACCGTGGCTTCCCTTTGGTGGGGCTGACCAGGCAGAGGCTCCTGTGTGGGGTTCCAGGGCTGCCAGGATCAGAGCTTCCTTGAGAGTGGTGGCTGCTGCTCTAAGGAATGTCTTAGAGACCTTTTCCTCCAGGAATGTCAGAGTGCCTTGGGTGGATGCCAGGAGGAGCTGGAGTTCAGTGCTGCAAGCTGCCTTGCCCTGCAGCTGTTTGTGGCAGTGGGAAGTGGCTGAGTCCCGTCCAAGTGCTGCTGCCCTGTGGCAGCCTGGGAGCTTTGGTGCTCTCACACTGGGGCTCCAGCACCGCTCTGAAATGCCGAGATTGTGCCTTTCAGGAGGAACATCTTGGACCGTGGGTCCGGATGTGGCACCTGGTTCTGTTTCTGCAGCAGGTCCGCCTGTGAGCCGCTTGGCACCGGGCGCTGCAGGGGCTGCCCAGCTGCCTCCTGTGCCGTGCTGCTGCAGCCCTGTCCTCCTCAGGGCTGGTAGCAGAGCTCTGGCAGGAGCTGGGCTGGGGCAGCAGCTGCTGCTGTTTCCGGAGGGGCTGGTGCAGCCCCCCCGCCCCCGGGGCATGGCGCAATAGGAGGCGGGTGCTGAGCTCACCCTCCAGGCGGGGCAATCCCTGCGGGGCTGGTGGGCATCCACTCAGCCCTGGCCTGTGCTTTTGGTGGGTTTGCCCCACAGCAGCAGCATCACTCATGCAGCAGGAGTGGCCCCCGCAGCTGCATGGGGCAGAGGGAGCATTGCCTGAGCTGCAGCAGCTGAGCACTGGCCACAAAGGGCTGAACCCCCTGCGGAATGGGGGCTCTGCTGTGCTGGGCCACGGTTCACAGCCCAACCCTTGGGCTGCAGCATCACAGAGGCTCTGTCACATCAGCCAGGTCTGGCTCCAGGGCTGTAGGAATCTGTGGCCACTGGCTCTCTCCTTTCTTGTTCACTTGTTGCTCCATTCAAAGCAGGTTTGGTTCATGTGGACTTCTCTGAGGATTGCACCAGCGGTTGTAGTTCAAGGTTAATGTCCTGCTCCTGCCTTTGGGGCTGTTCAGAGCTGTGAAGTACTAAAAACCTCTCTTAACCCCCGTGTCAGTGCCAATGTCTGTCCCCTCCTGGTGTCTCAGCCCTCAGAGGATGTTTCCACTTTCTTTTTTTCACACCCAAACAAATGGGGAAAGAGTCCCATGGGGGAGGAGGCCACGTAGTGATGCTGCATCTCAGTGCAGGGACCTTTGGGAAAAGCAAACCACTTTCTGCAGGGAAGTGACTGCTGGTGTCACGCAGAGCTGTGCCTTCATTTGCCAGCACAGCTGGAGTCCCCTCGTTAGTGTCAGCTTGATTTCCATTGATACAAGTCGTGAACTTGAAAATTGCTCCTTCCCTGTTTCTGTAGCTTCCTGGCAGTCTCCGCCTTCCACACTTACTGTAAGCTCCACAGCCACTTCCCTGCCTCCCAGCAGGACCAACCAGGGGTGCTTTTGAGACCAGATTAAATCCTCATTCCTACCTGTTGCCACTGGCCAGCCTGCCTGTGCCAGCTGTCCTGGAGCACCGTGCCCTGGCTGTCTCTGTTTCTGGCCAGGGAGAAGAACCCTTTTCAGGGTCACAGCTGAGTCCTGGCAGGAGGGAGGCAGGAGCCAGCTCTGAGCCAGCTGTGTTTCCACCCCTCAGGTCTCCCGAGGTGGCCAGGATGGCGCAGTGGAACCAGCTGCAGCAGCTCGACACGCGCTACCTGGAGCAGCTCCACCAGCTCTACAGCGACAGCTTCCCCATGGAGCTCCGGCAGTTCCTGGCCCCCTGGATTGAAAGCCAGGACTGGTAAGGACTTTTCAAATGCCTCTGAGGGGACTTTGCTCATAACACCCACCTGTAGGGACTCAAGAGGGCTGGAGGAGCTCTGTCACTTCCCCTGCTCCCCTGGTGATGGGACTGGTCTCTCTCTGGGGCTCCTGTGGCATCGAGGGAATGGAGTGGGACTTTGTTCACTGTGTTAGACCCTGGGCCAGGAGAAGCAGGGGGATGTTCCCATCCAGGGCTGGCTAACGCTGACCTCTGTTGTAAAGGGGGCTGACACAGAGCACTGATGGCTGGATCCTGTCCATGAGCATGTGGGACATGCTCACAGACATCAGGTGCTGGTGTGCACCATCTGCCTGGTCTACTTGACCAGATGGTGATTAGTCACCAGCTAGACTCCATCTCAGAGTTCTTTTCCTTCCTAAACGATTCAGAGATTCTGTAAGCTGCACGGGGGATGCTGGGTGTGAGCAGAGCCCCCCCTGCTTTGCCCCTTGCCCCATGCCAAGCACTCAGGGCTCTCTCTCCCCTGCTCAGGGCCTATGCTGCCAGCAAGGAGTCGCACGCCACGCTGGTGTTCCACAACCTGCTGGGGGAGATCGACCAGCAGTACAGCCGCTTCCTGCAGGAGTCCAACGTCCTCTACCAGCACAACCTGCGCCGCATCAAGCAGTTCCTGCAGGTGAGCTGGGAGCTGCCAGCATGGTGGGGTCTCGGGGTTTCTGCTGCTCAGAGTGACCCCCAGATGTGTTAGAAAGTCTCTTTTCCCAGCCTGGCTGTCGAAGAAGGAGTCAGAATCTTCTATTCTTGTTCTCAAGGTTGTTTATTGTTTCTTATCTATAAAATTCTTTCTCTGGCCTGCTGAGGTCTGTTCAGCAGGTCAGACAGAGGCACACTGGTGTTACCTTTTTATACTAAAAACTCCGTGTACATTATTTACCATAACTTCCCAATACCTATGACCTATGTTAGACAGTGAGCTTCTACTCTAAACCAATCCAAAAGTGCCAACATCACAGCAGAAGATGGAGGCCAAGAAGGAGAAGGAAAAAAGCTGGACACACCCAGATTCCTCCTGAATCCCCATTCTAAAAACCCCAAAAAATCTATTTTTCACCTCGTGACAAACTAATTATTATTATAATCCCTCCTTCTTGCCTCCTGAACCCCCATTCTAAAAACCCCCAAAAAATCTATTTTTCACCCCGTGACAAGCTAATTATTATTCTATTTAGATTTTTGTGGCTTGCAGATCCTCATATAAGGTTGGTAATTTTTTCCATGGGTCACAATCAAAGTCACAGGTGTCTTGGGCTCTGTGCCAAGGTCTCTGAGCCCCCTGGCAGGGGTTTGGGCAAATGCAGGACAGCCAGAGGGATGTCCTGAGTTCCGACACTGGGGGAGCTGGTGAGGGTCCGAGCGATTCCTTGGCACAGCTCAGCATCCACAGCCCTGATGTGGAGATCCTAGGGCTTGCCTTGTGCCTGCTGACCCTGTTTGACCCTTTACAGAGCAGATACCTGGAGAAGCCAATGGAAATCGCCCGCATCGTGGCTCGCTGCCTCTGGGAAGAGTCCCGGCTCCTCCAGACAGCTGCTACTGCAGCCCAGGTCAGTGGCCACGTATCCCAGGGCCTCCTGGTCCTGGCCATCCTGATTGCTGACAGCCAGGACACAGCCTGGGTGTTCTGGCTGGGTGTCTCCATCTCTCCTCTCCTCGGCTGCTCTGGAGCTGATGCTGAAGTGAGCAGCAAGCTGCCAGTGTGTGTTAAGGATGGGCTGAGGACCCTGCAGAACCTTCTCAGGCTGGAAGGGAGCATCCTCAGGTTACAGCCCTGTCCTTATGTCCTTCTTGTCCCCTCTGCAGCAAGGGGGACAGGCAACACATCCAACAGCAGCTGTGGTGACAGAGAAGCAGCAGATGCTGGAGCAGCACCTGCAGGATGTCAGGAAGAGGGTGCAGGTATGTGTCTGCCTGGGCACCTTCAGCTCTCCCCACCACAATTCTTGAGTGCTGTGAGTGAAATTACATTTCTTGCCTTCCAGGATCTGGAGCAGAAGATGAAAGTGGTGGAAAATCTCCAGGATGACTTTGATTTTAACTACAAGACTTTGAAAAGCCAAGGAGGTAATGACAGCTCATTAGCATCTGCAAACCACAGTGTGTTCCTGCAAGGAAACTTGTTGGAGAGGTGTTCCAACCTCCACTCCCAGAGGGAATGTGCTCATTCTCGGGGCATTTGCATGGCAATTGGATAAACCTGGTCTTCTGTTTCTGCCAAGGATGCTGCCCTTGGGGAAGCTGAACTGAGCTTTGCTGTGAGCACAGCAGTGGGGTGGGCAGGGATTGGCCTCTGTGGGTGCAGGAGAGCCACGGAGCTGCTTGGAGGCTGTGCCAGATTCCTGCTTGGCTGTAGGGTGCCCGCACTTTGCTGTGCAAGTGTTGTGTTGTTGTGGCACTTGAGGAGGTGTGAAGAGTGTGGCTGAAGCTTCTTCTCACCTCTGCACAGACATGCAGGACCTGAACGGGAACAACCAGTCAGTGACCCGGCAGAAGATGCAGCAGCTGGAGCAAATGCTGACAGCACTGGACCAGATGCGCAGGGTAAGAGGGGCAACTGACCCTCCAGGTTCCTCTGGGGTGCAGATCCCCCTTCTTCAGGGCTGGAATTTGGTAGCTCCTGCATGGCCAGAACTAGGAGCAGTGCAGCAAGCACAGCCCTGAGCGACTTCTTCCTTGCCTGTGAATGTGAAACTTGTGGGTCCGTGGGGGAAGTCACAGCATGCTGAAGGTTCTGCTTTCTCTCTTGGCAGGGCATAGTGAGCGAGCTGGCTGGGCTGCTGTCTGCCATGGAGTATGTGCAGAAGATGCTGGCAGATGAGGAACTGGCAGACTGGAAGAGGAGACAGCAGATTGCCTGCATTGGTGGCCCACCCAATATCTGCCTGGACAGGCTTGAGAACTGGTGAGAGCTGCCTGGGACTGTGTCAGTGCCCAGAGCAGTGGCACTCAGACACCTGCTGTGGAAATGAGCTCTTGCTCTCTGGAAATGTCCTTGCAAAATGGACATTTCTGATGCTTGCACATGTCAATATAGCCTGCAGCTTAGACTGAGCCACGATGGTGGGCATGGTGTTGGAAAGGTGTCACACTGTCCCCAGCTCTGTGCCTGGGGGATTCTGAGGCTGCTGGGAAGGTTATGGCCCTGGAGTCACCTGGGCATGTGCAGGTTTTGTTTGTAATGCATGGCCTAGAAAAATGCTCTGGGCTTGGAGCCACAGACACACTCAGTTCCTGACTGGCTTGGCATGGAGATTGTGTTCTTGCATGGGAAGAGGAGTGCTCTGCAGGCTGGACAGTGTGGGCTTGGCAGCCAGAGCTAATGCTGGTTCTCCATGCTCCCCTAGGATAACCTCCCTTGCTGAATCACAGCTACAGACCCGGCAGCAGATCAAGAAGTTGGAAGAACTGCAGCAAAAAGTATCCTATAAGGGTGACCCAATCGTCCAGCACCGGCCCATGCTGGAGGAGCGCATTGTGGAGCTGTTCAGGAATCTGATGAAAAGGTGCTGAAGGCAGCCAGGAGCTGCATGGCCGTGGGTGGAGGGTGGGCAGTGAGTCTGACTGTGGTCTCTGTGCTGTTCCTGCAGTGCTTTTGTGGTGGAGAGGCAGCCCTGCATGCCCATGCACCCTGACAGGCCCCTGGTCATCAAGACAGGTGTGCAGTTCACCACCAAAGTCAGGTGGGTGCCTCCCCACAGGTGAGGGAGGGGAGCTGAGCAGGGAGGGCAGCCTGGGGTCACTCTCTGGAGATGCTGCTGCAGATGCAGCCCCCGTGCTGGGAAGGGAGGGATACCAGCAGGATAGATCCCAGAAGGATGATCCCAGAGGGCTGGAGTGCTGCCCACATGACTCAGTGCAGGGCTGGCTGGGGATCTGCTGGGTTCTGGTAAATCCTGTTGTGGGGGTGGGAAGCATCAGCACATCCCTGGCCAGCTGCTGCTCAGCCTGGGCCATGTTCCCTGCCATGCTCTGACACCAGGCTCTGCCTGGAGCTTCCCTGCCCTTTGCCAGCTGTGCCTCCATGGCAGCCTCTGGCCCAGAGTGGTGTGGAGGGTGTTTGTTCAGAGCCTGGCATGGGCTGTCAGCAGCCCAAACGAGCTCCTCAGGATGCTCAGGGGAGTGCCAGCACTTCCCTGCTTCTGGGGACGGGTCCCAGGGCTGTGTGAAGGTGTGCCCAGGGATGCCAGAGCAGCTGGTCCATGCTGCTGGCTGTGCCAGGTGGAACAGGAGCACTTTCTGTACACAGCATGTTCATGCTCTGTGTCTGCTGACTCTTGCAGGTTGTTGGTCAAGTTTCCAGAGCTGAACTATCAGCTGAAAATCAAAGTCTGCATTGACAAGTGAGTCCTGTGCTTCCCTTCCAGTGGCACTGGGTGGGGTAACTGGGATGGGACTGATTCCTGCTGCCCCTGGATTGGGCTTGATCTCCACAACGAGGGCCAGTGTGGCCCCCATTTGAAGGGGAGGGTGGAGGGTGGTGCTGAGTCCTGAGGGTTCACCCCCACGTGGGGGCAAGCCTGTGGGGCTCATGGGACTTGTGCTGGGATGCAGCTGGCACCACCCAGCAGCTTGTCTGCATCAGGGTGGGAGGGCCACTGCCATGACCTGGTGTCTCTTCCCCCTTTTCTAGGGACTCTGGGGACGTTGCAGCACTTCGGGGGTAAGTGCTCTGTTTGCTTTTTCCTCATTTCTTGTTTCTGCTTTTATTCCTGGCAAACATGCTACCACACAGTCACTCCAAGACTGCCCTGTCAGCCTGACTCTTTCCTCTTGCCAGGTCCCGCAAGTTCAACATCCTGGGGACCAACACCAAGGTCATGAACATGGAGGAGTCAAACAATGGCAGCCTCTCAGCAGAGTTCAAACACCTGGTGGGTACCATGAGCTCCTGGGCTGCTCCTGTACAGCCAGGTGTCATTGTGGTGCTGCTGCAGCCTGTCCCTCTCTCTGCAGACCCTGAGGGAGCAGCGCTGTGGCAATGGAGGCCGAGCCAACTGTGATGTGAGTGTCAGGGGCCTGGCCATTGACAGGGGCAGCTGAGCTGGGAGGGGATGCAGGGGGTCCACCAGCACTGATTGTCACGTTGGTAGCTTGCCAGGCCAGCCTCAGCAGCTGTGCTGGGTCTGCTGGTCGTGTGTTGGGGTGGGGGTGGGTGTCTCGTGGTGCTCATGGTGTCCCCTTCTGCCCCAGGCCTCGCTGATAGTCACTGAGGAGCTGCACCTCATCACTTTTGAGACAGAGGTGTATCACCAGGGGCTGAAGATCGACCTGGAGGTGAGGCTTGGGTCACTGCCTTCACCACCACAGGCCTGGGTGGAGCCCTGGGAGTTGTCCCAACCCATGGTGACATCTTCTCTTTGCAGACCCACTCGCTGCCTGTGGTGGTCATCTCCAACATCTGCCAGATGCCCAATGCCTGGGCATCCATCCTGTGGTACAACATGCTGACCAACAACCCCAAGGTAGGGCTGGTGTGGGAGGGCAGCAGGGCAGGTGTCAGGATGGGTGAGAGGGAAACTGAGGCTGGAGAGCGGGGCTGAGGCAGAACCTGGCCCTGCTCCTGTCCCATGTCCCACTCAGGGCTGTGTGTTCCCTCGTGCAGAACGTGAACTTCTTCACCAAGCCCCCCATTGGCACCTGGGACCAGGTGGCAGAGGTGCTGAGCTGGCAGTTCTCCTCCACCACCAAGCGCGGGCTCAGCATCGAGCAGCTGACCACACTGGCAGAGAAACTGCTGGGTAAGAGAGGGCTGGCCTCCAGGGTGGCCTGCCCATCCCTCTTGTCCCCTGGCATGATTCCCCACCTGTACATGTCATCCAAGAGTGAGGTCCTGTGTTTTGGCCTAAGAGCTTTTGGCCTGAGTAATTTTCAGGTGCTTGGTTTTCTCCCAAATGGCACAAACCCTGGAAATGGTGTCTTTGGAAGGACAGCTCTATTTATAAATGGTTGTGTTCTTTTTTCTCTTCCAGGACCAGGTGTGAATTACTCTGGCTGTCAGATCACCTGGGCCAAGTTCTGCAAGGTAGAATTTCCTCTCTTCCATGAGCATGTTCCCTTGGCTGTTCCCTTCTTCCAAGCTGTGCTAGCAGCCTCTCTGCCTTTTCCCCAGGAGAACATGGCTGGCAAAGGCTTCTCTTTCTGGGTCTGGCTGGACAACATCATTGACTTGGTGAAGAAGTACATCCTGGCACTGTGGAACGAAGGGTGAGTGCCAGCCCAGAGCCTGAGGTTAGGCTGGGCCCTGGAAGGGTCCCACAGGTTCCACCCTGATGGCGTGGGGTGCTTGTCCATGTGCCAGGTGTGCTGTCCTGGGATACTTTTTGCTGTTTCAGAGTGAAAACTCACCTGGGAATCCATAAAATGTCAGTGGCTAGTCTGAGTTCTGCTGCTGAGCAGAGCTGGCATGACTTACAGGCTGCTCCTGTGCCCTGACCTCCATTTGTTGTTCTTGCTTCCTCCTGCCCAGGTACATCATGGGCTTCATCAGCAAGGAGCGGGAGCGAGCCATCCTGAGCACCAAGCCCCCAGGGACCTTCCTGCTGCGCTTCAGTGAGAGCAGCAAGGAGGGGGGCATCACCTTCACCTGGGTGGAGAAGGACATCAGTGGTACGAGCTCTACCCTGGGTGCCTGGCTTGGCATTCCAGCTTCCAGAGGGGGCTTGGGTGCCCTGATAAGCGTTTGTCCTTGTCCCAACAAGCTGTTTGTGTGGGTTAACTTCTGAGCCTGGCTGCCCTTAGCTGGTCTTTGCCTTCTGGGTGTCTGTGCCCACGTGCTGCACAGTTTTCTATGGCACTGAACACAGTCAGGTCACAGTCCTGCCCTGTGGTCTGCTGTGTGCCTGGTAGGGCTAAACACAGCCCCAGGCCCATCTTGTCTTTGCTGCTCTGGGGATGTCTGAAGACAGCCCTGCCTTTGTTGTGTGCCAAAATTCTCCTTCCTTGCACAGGGAAGACACAGATCCAGTCAGTGGAGCCTTACACCAAGCAGCAGCTGAACAACATGTCCTTTGCTGAGATCATCATGGGCTACAAAATCATGGATGCCACCAACATCCTGGTGTCCCCTCTGGTGTACCTGTACCCAGACATCCCCAAGGAGGAGGCATTTGGGAAGTACTGCCGCTCTGAGAGCCAGGAACACTCAGAAGCCACGGACTCAGGTAGTCGTTGACTTTCTGTGGCTCCTTTGTCACAGGGAAGCTCTGGGGAGCAGCACTGGCTGTCACCAGCCAGGACCCTGTGCCATCCCTGGAGGGCACAGCCACAGTGTGGCACCAGCCATGGGACAGAGGGTGGGCACTGCCTGTGTTCTGAGGGGCAGAGACAAGGATTTGTCCTTGAGTGGCTGCTGATGAAGCTTCTCCCTCCTTGCAGGTGCTGCTCCATACCTGAAGACCAAGTTCATCTGTGTCACCCCGTGAGTGTTCCTGGGAGGTGTCCGTCACTGCTTGGGGGGTGTTTGTGTGCTCAACCATGCTTGAGGGAGAGGTTTCCTTCCTTTCTTTCCACCTCTGTCTGAGCTTTGCTTGGTTCCTGTGGGGTTCCCAGCCTGGGGTGACGGTGGGGGCTGAGCCAGGCTCCGGCTGCTGCCCAAACCACAGCCCCGTTCTTCCCCTCCGGGGCCCCTTTCCTCTGGAGACCTCTGGGGGCCCCTCAGCGGGTAGAGGGGGTGTTAGAGAGCTCTGGCCAGGCAGGCCCTGACTGAGGAGCTTTCTGTGCTTCTTCTCCTTCGGACAGCACCTCCTTCAGCAACACCATCGACCTGCCCATGTCCCCGCGCACGCTGGACTCGCTCATGCAGTTCGGCACCAGCAGCGAGGGCGCGGAGAGCAACGCGGGCGGGCAGTTTGGTGAGTCTGGGGGGGCTCCAGGGGGCCCTGGCTGCCACCCCACACCCAGGGCCCCGTAACCCTGCCTGTGTCTGCCCGCAGAGTCGCTGACCTTCGACATGGAGCTGACCCCAGAGTGTGCATCCTCGCCCATGTGAGGGGCTGCAGCTCAGCCTTCCCACCTCCAGAGCCTCCCCCTGGATTTGTCCCACTCGGCTGCAGCTGCTCCAGGCCTGCCCTTGGGAACTGCTGGGGGCCAGGGTCCTTGCGTGGGTCAGGTCCTCACCTCACCCAACAGCGCAGCCCCTCTCTGGGGTGGTGCAGCTCATCTCTGGGGGAGGGGGATGAACCTTTTTCTATTTCCTTCCATAACGGTTTTCTATTATTTTTGCTCATTCAAGTGCCTATTTGCCTCCGATTGCAGCCACAGTTCCTACAAACGCTTCCACAGCCCTGGTCCCGCTGCTGGAAGCTGCTGCCCTGACTGTGCCCACACCCAAACCCACAAATCTGGAATTGCAGAGGGGATTTGCCATGTGGCAGGGGCTGCCATGCTGCTCCCAGCACCTCCTAGAGCTCGCAGGGTGCTGGGGTGAGTCCCCTCTCTGCACCCACCTGGCCCTGGTTTTGGCCAGGATGACCAGGACAGGGCTCAGAGCTGCAGGTGGATGTATCCAGGTGCTCCCACCCTGGACGCAGCAGGCACTGCCCCTGCTGGACTCAGCCTGGGAGCCCAGAGGTTCAGGAGCTGCTTGTGCTTGTCCTCAGCTTCCTGCTTTGGGCACAGTGACCTGGCCAGTGCCAGCAGCCTGGGCTCCTTTTGGGATGGCTGGTGTCCCTGGCGTAGGGCAGTGCTGCTACCCAGTAGTGGCACCTGTGTGTGAACAGCATCTGCAGCTGTGGCCCATTCTGGGAGCTGGGTGAAGCCACAGGGGCTGCCTTGGCTTCCCTGTGGCCAGGCTGGTGCTGGGAGCACAGTCTTGCTTCCAGCACTGTGCTGAGTTAGAGCAGTTGGACCCTGGGGAATTGGAGGAACCAGCATGGCTGACAGTGGGGCTCCTGGCTTGTCCCTTTCTTTGTGAGTTGTTAGGGGCCAGGCATGGGGTCTGCAGCTTCCTGAGGGCTTCATGTGGCATTTCAGTTGGAGGTTGGCCCCTCACATTTAAGGGTGGGAAGGGTCAAGAGTTGAAGGGAGCAGTGGATGGGAGGAGAGGAACCTGCTGTGGGGCAGTGCAGGACAGTGACAGGGGTGTTGTGAAGGGCAATGTCCTGCATTTAACGAAACTGGGGGAGCCCTCCTGCCCTTTCCATGCAGTGGGCAGACACGGATGAGCAGTGGAGGGGTGGGGGAGGCAGTGGGAGAGCTGCTCCCTCCGAGTTGCATCACAGCTGGTGGGCAGGGAACCAGAGGGCAGGGGGGAGCATCCCCGTGGCTGTGGGGTCTGGGCAAGCCCCTCCAAGCTGTGTGGGAGCAGGAGGGGGGTCCGTGGCTGGCCCTGAGGCTGCTCAGGGGCGATGAGGGCCCTTTGCCCCTCTGCTCGCTCACTGCCTCCGGCCGCAGTCCCTGGCAGCATTCAATACTGTAAAAAAATTTTATTTTTTTGTATATTTTATTGCTGTATCTACAGGCTTTAACTTTCTCCGAAATAAAGGCCCTGAAGCGACGTGCTGTGGGGTGTGAGCTGGGCCCTGCCTGCGGCACCCACCTGACCCTGCTCCGGGAACTGGGGCCTCCTTCGGCGCAGCCCGGCCCCGGTGCCGCCGCTGCGGTTTGCGCGGCGCGAGCGGCCCCGGCTCCTGCCCGGCAGGCGTGGGCAGCTGCCCCTTCCCGGGGCTGCGGGGCCCTTCCCAGGGCAGCCAGGGGGCAGCGGCCCTGCCCCAGCCCGTGGTTGCTTTCTCTGCCCCAGAGACGCGCTCGGGTCTCCGGCAGTTGTGTAAAGGAAATGCCGGTGCCAGCGTGGGAGGACACGGCTGCGCTGGGGCCCTGCTCTGGCTGCTCTCAGCCCCGGCTGGCTGGGGCTGCAGAGGGGCCCCTGTGGCTGCTTCTGCCCCGGGGGGTGATGGGCTGGAGCTGGGGGCAGCGAGGGCCAGGCCCTGCAAGGCACAGCTGGGTGGGTGTGTGAGGCTGGGAGCGCTGGCTGGTGACGGTGCCACGCTTTGCACACACAGCCCTGGTGGAGCCCACCCCAGCATTTGTACCCCTAGCCCTCTGCAATACCACGTGGATGTGAGGAGAGGAACCATGAACAGGATCATTCCAGGGTTTGTGCTCTGATGAGGCCAAGAGGGAGAGATTATTTCTCTGTCAGAGCAGGATTAGGGGGATTGTTCATGCAGGTCATGTGGAACTGGCTGTGCTGCATCATTTGAGGCGCTGGAGGTGCACTGGAGCCTTCTCTGCCCTCTGAGTGCCCTGGAGCATCCTGCTCAGGGCTGAGCTGACCATGTCCCTGCTTTGGGAACCAGCCCCACTGCATTTCACTGTCAAACCAAACCAGGGCTCTGCCCAGGCCTCACAAACCCATTCCTGCTCTCAAGGCAGCTGTATTGGATCAGTCCCATCTCAGCCCAGGGTGCTGCAGGTGCGGGGCAGCTCACAAAGGAATGAGGCCCAGCCCTTCTCCTGCCCTGCCATGTACCAGCTCCCCTCTGGCAGCTGCAGGATGGGGTTGAGAACCCAGGACTAAGGAATTTTCTTACCCATATGCAACCCTCGGGGTTGCCACAACCATGTGGTGCCAGGAACATTGTGTCTCATTCTCTATTCCTGCAGATCAGGGGTTCCTTACCTCCCTGGCCCCTGTTGGGACCTGCCCCAGCCCTGAGTGATGGGCTCAAGGGGCCACAGCTCCCACCTTGGAACTCCTGCTGCCAATGCTCTGGGGAGCAGCAGGCTGGGAGCTCCTGGAGCCTGATGGGCAGCAGGAGACAGTGCCCAGGGGAGTCCCTGTGCTGGGCTGGAGAAACCCCTGCAGCACCAGCAGCAACTGGGGCAAGGGACACTTGCCAACATCCTGTCCCCCTCCTCCTGCCCCAGTCAGCCCTGCAGCCCTTGCTTTCTGCCTGTGCTGGGGCAGGAGGTTGTTTGTGGCTCCAAAAGGAGGTCACAGGGTGGCTTTGCTCCTTGCCCAGGCTCACAGCACAGTGGGGAGGAGTGGGGACAGTGTCTGAGCCAAGCGTGCAAACGGATTAGGGGTTTCCAAATGCAGATAATCCGCTTGGGATGCGTGACAGGCACAGGGCAGCCCTGTGGGGATGGGCAGCCACCTGCCAGGGCAGCCCTGGGCCAGGGGCACTCAGAGCAGGGGCTCAAGCAGGGTCCCACTGGTACCTGGGCTGTCTGAGCTGTGCAATATTGACAATCCTTGGGAATAAGGCAGCAGACAGGGATTAGAGAGGCCACAGTTGATCTGCAGCTCCAGGATCAAGCAGCTGAATGAGCAGGGCTGCAGTGAGGGGTGGGAGGCAAAGATCCCCAGGACCAGCCTGAGGGTGCCCTCTGCCCTCCCAGGTGCTGGGCAGGATCTTCCCACAGCAACACGTGCTGAGCTGCAGAGCACATGCCACTGCTGGCCAAGCCAAGAGCCATCCCAAAGCCTGCTTCCAGTGCTCAGAACACAACAGTCAAATAAATATTGCATCACACTCGGATAAATACACAGCAGAGCAGAGCCAGGCAGCGGTGGCTTCCACTGCCACATGTGGCAGAGGTCAGAGCCAGAGCTCCAGCACAGTGTGATCACCAAAAACACCACCTCCCAGCCATTCCAGGAGGACACAACCTGCCTGTTTCTCTGCAGATGCCCCATCCTGGCTCACAGTGCAGTGGTGGAACCATCACCGAGGGCTCTGCTCACCCTGACATGGGGTGAAGGTTCCTGGCCCTGGTGCAGCCGCTGCACTGGGCTGACCTGTGGCAGCACGTTGGTGGCTGGAGCAGCTGGGACTGAGTGGTTACTGTGGCAACCTGAGCTCTGCAAGGCAGAGCAGGGATGCAGGGAGAGGACAGGGACGCATGGGGGTGTGCAGGGATGCTGGGATGCACCAGTGTGGGGTGGGGGCCAAGTGCACCCCTGTGCTGTGCTCCTGATGCCCCCGGCCAGCCCTGGCACTGGGGTGGGCAGGAGAGGATTGTGCCCTTGGTCCCAGCGGGGCTGTGGGTGCCCCCGTGCCCCCTCAGGTGCAGAGATACTCACTGAGCTGATGGGGGGTTCTGGTGCCCTCTGCAGACCCAGTCGGGCTCTCGCTCTCCCGGGTGTTTCAGTAGCAGAAACTGGATGTTTTTTCCTAGCAGGAGGAGCTATGGAGTCTTTGCCCAAGCAATGGCACTGCTTGGCTGCTGAGGCCAAATGTTTGCTGGGTTGTTCACAGCCCTATCCGAGTGGCTGGAGGCAGAGGTTTCCTGTGGAAGTTCCCCCTTGGACAAAATGTCATTTCCGTTTGTTTTTTTTTTGCTGGAGCAAATCATCCCCTCCTCCTGGCACTGGGCACCACCAGGCTGAGCCTGTGCCAGTGACAACCATCTCTGGTGCCCCCACTTTGCCCTGCCCACGGCTCCAAGTCGTGTGCTGCCCACGGGTGGCCGCGTTCTGGCAGGGTCTGTGCTGCTGCCCTGTCCCCCTCGCTCCTCCCAGGCTGCCTCTTGCACCAGCAGCAGGGCTGGAACCCCGCAGGGCCCATCCACACTGGCTCTCCAGTGGGACCTTTGTGGGAAAATGTGAGTCTGTGACTAATGTGGGGATTCATCTGTTTCACATTAGCTGGGCTGCATTATCACAACGGGGTTTTGTTTTGAGATCTGGGAGCGTGAGGGATGCAGAGCAGGGATGGGATGGGGCTGGGCTCCCCCATGAGAGCTCCTGGTTCCCGGTAAGCAGGAGGGGATGGAGCCGAGGCCGTGTCCTGCCCGCAGTTGACGTGGTTGGGTGTTTGTGCTTTGCCCAAGCCCTCTGCACTTCCCGGGAGCAGCGGGGAGCATTGCAGAGGAGCCTCGCATACAGGATGTGCCCGGAGGGCAGTGGCCAAAAGCGTCAGGACTTCTCCAGAGCCATCTAAATAAATGTTTCCACTCCAGAGAAATAATTAAGACCCTTGAGATGCCACTTACAGAGAAAGGCCGTTCCGCCTGCACTCTTTGCTCTCCCGCTCCAAACACAGAAGCAATTTTCTCGGAAATCCATTACGGAGCTCCAGACTCGCTCTGTCCCCGGAATGCGCGGCGTCATTCGGCATCCTGCTGAGCTCATGCAAGGTGCCCATGCGTCCGGCTGCGGCTCAGCCCGGATCATGCTCACCTTCCCAGAGGCTTCCGAGACTCTCTGAGGCACAAAGAGAGCCAGGGCAGAGCTAAGATCTCTTCGGGGCATCGCTGGGGTGGAGCTGGGGCAGTTCCAGGGCAGATCTAAGGGCAGCCTCTCCATCTGTCACTGCTGCAGTCACTGTTCCTCTGTTCTTTTCCTCTGGAAAGGAAGAATTTCTCCTGGTAACATCCCCGCCAGCCAGCTCGGAATTTTCCTTGGGACCTGGTGAAAACAAATTGTGATTGGATTGGATTGGATTTTATTGGATTCTCCTTGCCCTCTCAGCAAGGAGCACTCTCCACTTTCTCTCCCAACACTAATTTATTTTTCCTTTTTTCCCCCCTTTGTAGCAGAAAAGGGAGGGAGAAAGGAGGGAAAGGAGAGGGTGTTTTGTGTTCATCTCCCAGCTCTCCCAAGCATGTGTAGCTGTGCAGGTCTCTGGCACAGGGAGTGCTGTGTCCCTGGGATCCTCCAGCTACCCCTGGATCTGTGGTGCCCAGACAGAGCCCCAGCAGGCACAGACATTGTGTGTGACCTTGATTCTCTGGCCTGAGCAGCCAGTGCCCGCCTGGCTGCCTGCTCCAATGGGTTATGTGGGCCAGGGATTGTGAAAGCTGCATGTCCATGATGCAACTCACCAGAGCAAGAGCGTCCCAGCCAAGCAGGGTGGGCAGGCACCAGGGCCCTGCGCTGCCTTCTCCGCTCCTTTTCTTGTGTCTCGTTGAATACAGACAGTGTGGGAGCTGCTGGCTTCATGTTGGCTGCCTGTCCCTGCTTGCCAGGGTCCCAGCTCACCTCTCTGTGAGGTCTGGAGTGAGAGGAGCACTGGGAAGTGCAGCCAGGGCTCTGCTGGCAGTGGCTCAGCAGCGATGTGTCAGCCTTTGTGCGTGAGATTCTCCCAAGCTGGTGAGCACAGGCAGCAAAACATTTGGTGGGAGCTGGGGGCTGTTGGGGCTGGAGTCACTCATCCAGTCATTCACCAAGGCTGCTCCAGGCACGGAGTGGGGCTGGCAAAGTTGGAAAGCAGCGTTTTGTGGCTGGTGTTTGCATGGAGCAGGTGCTGGGCTGGTGCCTGCCCAGCCCACAGATATTTATCTCTTGGAAGTGTGGAGCTGGATGAGGCAGTGAGGAGCCCGAGCTGGAGCTGGAGGACTTTAGCACAAGAGCACAAAAGCAGTAGAGAGGTGGGAACTTGGGGCTGTGCTCTGACACAGAGGCCAAGTGATTTGCAGTTGCTGGTGCACCAGCTGTCTGGGAGAGATCCCATTCCAGCGCTGGCACAAGGAGAGACGAGTCCCTCCTCTCTGGATTCCCACCGGGGAAGGGTCACCCGTGCTCCAACCAGCCCAGAGCAGGAGAGGGAC